GGCCTTGTACAATTTTTGTTGCTTCCTCTAAGTTTTTTCATTTCTTTTTTCCATTTTTAAAGGGTGTAACCTTTTTTTGTCTTTGGATCTGTGTCTTCTCCTAAAAATTGTAACACTTTTTTACTTATGTCTGATTGTAATCTCCTTTTGGTAACCTCAGAAATTTTTTATCCTGCCGTAATAGACGCATATAGGAGATTTTTGTGAAATCTTGTATTATACATTTGTAATATTGTAAAATAAATATGTTTTTCCTTTTTAAAATTTTACGCGGTCGTCGTTTTCTTTTAGAATTTAGCGCCAGTTATAGTGACTTGCTGTTTCTACTAAGTTTTGTGTCTGGCACATGAACTTGGATTTCGTAGGAAATAATAAAATTATATTTAAAACAAGCAGTCAAATAAATCTTGAATATAGCATTCAAACATGAACTTATATTTATATGTAACTTTGAAAATCTCTTTTCCTTTATAAATTATTTTCCTGTGGCTATTTAGAGAATTTCCTTTCCCATGCAAATGATTCTACTTGAAATGATTCGGGAAATGAATAAACAACCATTAAAATAATTTCCTAATATTGCTGTACATTTTCTCTGTGACAAATATTTTGCCACAACCATGATGCTTGGCGAGAATTTCAAATTTCCTCTGTATAATGTTGCGTGCCAGTGTATGCGCTTCCCAACTTGTTGTGGGCGTTAGTATCGTCAGTTTTGGGAATTGGGAATAACACGCTGTCTCCTGAAATACCCACAACAAACATGGCAGGCTCGGGATGTGAGTTCACTTAAAGAAATGTAAAGAAAGGACAAGAACTAATATATATGTACAAACAAAAGATAATGTATTAACAACAAAGGTATACAAGCGACAAGGACAATGATGTGTGTAATAAATGAATGGGAAAACATTTTCGTCCAAAGTATCTGTAGTGAGTGAATGCGTGTACGTACGTGTGTGTGTGTGTTGTTCACGCGTTTCCCAAAGGGAACACGTTCTTTATGGTTACATGTTGACGAATAAGCGGATGAGGTGAGAAAAGAACGAGAAAATTAGCGCAGAATATTTATAGTCCAGTGAGCGTCCCCTAGTAGCGGTTTCGAAAATTAAGAGAGGTTAACCCAACAATAAATTATGAAGAAGATGAAAGATCCATCCAAAATGATCATTGGTTTCTTTATCAACGTATGATTCAAATACTAGAAATAATGGAAAATTCGCTCTGATTGGATGAATACAAGTTTAACAAAACCTTTATCAATATTCGAATAAGTCCCAAAGATATATCATTAAACTAGATACGTTTTTGTCTTTAAAATTGGATTATTAATCTTTTTTATTGTTGGTGAGATTTGTTCACATCTTTCCAATCAAGCAATTTCTACAAAGTGAACTTAATCGGTTTTATCTGCATACGAAAGGCGGGAAATAGCGACTGTCATCGTAGAAAAGAAATACGACGAACAAGAAGTTGTTCACATAAATGTAGCTCAAATAACAAACGTTCCCTGATTCTGTAAAGAATGAAATCTTGGCTATGACACGTAGAAGGTAATTGGACAGAAATAGCGAGAAATAAAAATTGTCACTAGTGGTTGATTGATTGATTTGTTTTTGTTATAGACAAGCGTATGGTTGCAAAAAAGAAATACGACAACAACAGAAATAGATTTAAGTGATTTATTTCAATAGGAACGTGTGGATTTGGGACAGCTACCTTGTGGCATAGTTCATAGGCCGGCTGAAGATCTGGGTTGATCTCTCATAGTAGTTCTCGCTGGTTGGCGTGGCGCTACTGCTGCTGACCGATCAGACTGACCGTGACAGGTCTCTTCCTTGGCCTCCTGTTGACTGCTGTTGCGACCCCTTTTCGCACATTATCATAGCACCGATGATGGAAATAAGTCCATCGACTGTTAAGTCTGTATTTTTGTCTTTTTTATATTTGTTTTTTTATATGGACGGCTGCCTCTCTAAGGGTGTTTTCGAGTCGACCCGCGAAGTCTGTTAGTTTTTCGCCGTCTCGCCGTTCCAGATCCCAGGCTTGACTGAGGTCTTGAAAGTTAGTCATCTGGCTTCCGTGGGCTGCAAATAAGTATTCCTTCAGTCGTTCGAAGGTGGATATGTCTTTTTTTAAGTCAACCATCTGCTGAAAGATACTTTGGTGCAGTAAATCTTTAGCTGACTTGACGAATTCGCATTCCAGGCTGGGATAGGTGCTGAGTTCTGGAGTGACATGGATTGTGTATGCTTTGTTTAGAGCCGTGATCAATCGGTTCACGTCGTGTCCAGGGTGAAAAGTTCTCTCTAGCTTCAATATGTCGCGTATAGTTTGTTGGCGCATCATTAAGCTGTAATCGCCGTTTGTTTGAGCGGTGGGAGGTGTTAAAGTTGTTGATTTTAGGGCAGTCAGCATGTCGTTTATGTCGGCTTGAATTTCTTGTATCGTGTCTTCGGAAGGCTGTGTTGGTCCCGTTTTCAAGTTGAATAGTAGTGTTTTCTGTTCCTTGATGAGAGTAAATAGTTCGGCTCGGGTGAAGCTCATGTAGTCGGCCATATTTCTCTTGCTGTACGCTTCTGACACCAGTGTTATAGACAAGCGTATGGTTGCAAGAAAGAAATACAACAACAGCAGAAATAGATTTACGTGATTTATTTCAATAGGAACGTGAGGATTTGGGACAGCTACCTTGTGGTATAGTTCATAGGCCGGCTGAAGATCTGGCTTGATCTCTTATAGTAGTTCTCGCTGGTTGGCGTGGCGCTACTGCTGCTGGCTGCTGCTGACCGCTCGGCCTGACCGTGACAGGTTTCTTCCCTGGCCTCCTGTTGACTGCTGTTGTACTTCCGTGTGACACCTTTTATGGCGTTTTTTTTTTATGGCATAACAGGCTCGAAAAACGACGCGAGTATAATTAGGAGGGAAGCATTTTTATTGGTCGAAAAATAGAAACACTTTAAAATATTATTTTATTTTTCGACTGGAACTCGTGCGTCGGGAACATGCGTAAACGAAGATAATGGTCCTTTTTTAACGGGGCCTTGTCCCGTTCACATCCGGCTCCCGCTCTTGAGTATGATAGTTTATTTGCCTGTAAATCAGCCGAGATATGTCTTATTTTATTTTATAATATTTTCTATGGTTTATCAACCCATTTGCGGGTTATTTAAAGCCAGAAAATATTTTTAGATTATAAGACCTTTTTCGTTTTCGTGTTTTGTTTTGTTTTTTGTTTTGTTTTTTTAGATAATGCATGTGTTTCTAATTAACCCATAACTGGGGAGAGAAGAGTGTATTTGTGCGTATGTGAATATAACGAAGCCAACATATATTGGAACTCGGCTCTACCAATTAACAATTCCGTGCCAGTATCCATTACACCACCTGGGATACCCAAGCAGTTACCCATCTAGGTATTGACTAACCTCCACGTCGCTTAACTTCGGTGACCGTAGAGAGGGGAGACAACTAATGTTTCAACGTGATATGACCGTAACTCTTAATAGAGTCATCCACTCATAAATAAATAAATAGAAAATAGGGAATTTGTTTAATAATTAGCATTTTTAAGACCTTTCTTAAAATATAACACTTGTCAGAAACGAAAAATATTGATCTTTTATCGATTTATAATACCGATATTGTCAAATGGATCCCCAACTTTTGCAGAGTTTTACTTTGCTGTTTTGCTTTCGAAAACAAATATTTGGTGTCGGGGGCGGAAATAAATGAATTATTTAATTAAATAAAGAACAAACAAATATATATATAATTTTTAAGTAAAGAACAAAAAATTTCACATAAATTAATAAAAGTATGTATGTGTTTATTCTTCAATTAAGATAAATAATTATTAAATGTTTTTGCATACGCTTTGTAGTGAGTGCGAAGTAATAATAACTCTCTTTACCCACTCCCTTCAAATTCGGAGGACTGCAGGAAAAGACGAAAAGGGAATTCCCGAGCCTATGTGAAATTTTCTTTAGACCAATGAAAACGTTGCTTTCACAGAGATTGACCGGCTAGCTGAGAAGAAAAAGGAAATAAATTCGCGAACCTATGTGAAATTGCTTTTGGGTCAATGAAAACCTTGCCGCTGAGCCAAGTAGAAGAAAGAAAAGAAAGTAGCGAGTCTATGCGAAATTCCTTTTGATATAAAATGACGAAGAAAAATTAGATTAATAAGTGTAAAATTATTCGCCAATTATGTTATCGGCCTTTAACCTAACACGTGGCACTTCAAAGATTTTTCTCCCAACAATCCAAGAAAGCTAAGTATTTCAAAATTTCTGATTTATTTTCCTGAAACAAGCTGCTGACACAACTTCAAGCGTATAAATTCCTGAATGAATTCCTTATCTTATTTTGTTAAAAATAGCCGTGTGTTTCCTCGTCATTATCATTCTTCATTAATCTTCTTGGCGTGGGTGAATCAATTGTTCATTTTTTTTTTACCTCTAAGCCCCGCGACACTATCGCTCGCGAAAAAAATTCATACAAAAAAAAAGTTTTAAAATGTTAAAAAATGTGAAGATATCACACTTTGAAATTTGACATTTACGAATAACACTAACAGCTAAGTCCAATAACTCTGTAAATGTCTGGGATCGATTTGACACTATATCGATATTATTAAATAGGGCTTCTTTCTAAATCGATAAAAAAAAACTATATTTTGGGATTCTGAGAAATGTCGCGGTCAAAGGGAAAGTCTAAATAATGCTCATGTACAATATTTATTTCCTAAAGAAATTCCCTACGCATGGGCCAGTACTCCAAAGTAGTGTAAAAAATGTTCTTGTAATAATGCAACCGTGAATCGTTGTAAATTAAAACGATATAGAATATTAGTTGGGAATAGACAAAAAGGGAATGATAAAGAAAACGAAAGGTTTAAGACTTTGGAGTAAAACAGACGTAAATGTTTTATTAAGTGAAAAAATTATTTGTACCAAGGAGCTTCTTTTTTTTTAAACCCATTCAGATATTTTTAGTCAATGCGAGTTATTCCCCTTGAATATTCCAACATGGAGGATTCTAACCTCATGGTAAGTTAATATTTCTTGAGTTTAGTTTTAAAACATTTTCTGTTGTAGTAGTTACATTATTATTTTTTTTACTGTTTATGACCGTTTAAAAATTACGTGTATTTTTTAAAGTTTCTTTTTTGAACATAACATGTCGCTAAAATTAAATAACCCTAAAAATTAAAACACGTGCTTTTTTTTTTTTTTTACTTAAAGTAAGTAAAGTTTTTAGACTTAAGATCAATTTCCCTGCAACTTGACGAAATGAATATTATTAATAATAATAATAATAATTTAAGTTAATTTTTTTTTTAAATTGTGGAGCAGAATATCATTTTTCATCCTCTCTCCTGTACTTTACGTCTCAGAAAAGAAAGAGACATTTGAAACTGAAAAAGTGTTACAAATTATTACATTACACTATAGTATTATACATTTTTTTTAAATTCATTTTTTAAAAGTAAACAAACCCGAAACTAGCTTGAATAGTGCTCGATAGTATGGGGAATATTGGCGAATGTGATATGGATAAAAACTTAGTTCTGTACGTTGTACATACTTTCGTTTCGATTAACTGAAGTTAACTGTTAGTATAAAAAAGTAATTTTTCTTATGTAGTTTGTCCGAAGATGACTTTCAAATATGATTATTTATTTATTTTAACTCTAAAACTATTCAATTTGATTCCACTTTAAAACATAATTTCATTTTTCAAAAATAAAAAAATCTCCGAAGAAAATTCAGTTTATATTCGAACAACGCATTTTCGTACAAAATAAAAAAAAGTCTCTTGCTTTAGTCAACTTAATCGTATTCTCAAATAACAAATGAAGAGTAAATTGCAAAAGAATTATCTAGACCTTGTCCTTGTGGATACTAATTAACATGAATATTTTTTTTGTTCTTACAACTGTTTATATTTTTTTTGTTATTACAACTGTAAATATTTGGTAATTACATTGCTCTTCTTATTATTGTTGTTTATCGATGCTAGTCACACGAGTTTGAATTGAATCAAAGTAGCTTCCTTTGCATTTCGAATTTGATGTTTTGATAAACATTAATATAATCTTAACATTTTTTTATTGTTATCTCGCGGTAAGTTGTAACGCGAGGTCTTTTTGTTTTTTTTATGGAGCGGGTGCGTGTGTTACAGGATGGTCCGAAAGTCTTGTCACCCCCTACCTCTTTTTCTTTTCCAAACTAGTTCATGTCAGCCATCTGAAATAGAAAATTATATTGTGGGGGTGACAAGACTTTTGAACCACCCTGTACACTTTGGCTAAGTAAGAATATTAGATATTGTCCTGTCCCCACAATCAATCACGCTTGTATCGTTATTACACCAACTCCACCTATATTAGTTCAATGAGGAAGGTACTGCCGATTGTGGTGGAATTTCCGAACCATGATTTCTCCCATCTCAAATGAGAAAAGAACAGATACTACGCTTCAATCCCAGTTTGCCAAAATAAAAAGTGAGAAGCAGGAGTAGGTAAACAAATAAAGGGAGTGGGAGGAATAGCAAAGGGACGTAAATCTATTATTTACATTAAATGTTTTGTCCTAGCAATTCACCCTGAACTTGCATGAGATTGAAATCACTTGGAGAAAATAAAAGAAATGGGAAAAACTATGACACCTTCTTTAATGAGTTTAGTAACAACAAGAAAATAATCCGTGAATTTGAGAGGATTAAAATAAAAATAAATAGATATGTCTAGATTATTTAACTAAACATGCCTTAATGAAGATATGCTGCCAAAATATACATACATACATATATATGTATGTATGTGTGTATGTGTGGAATAATCAATAACAGTTCAGATTGAGGAATTGGAGAGTCGAGTTCATTACATTCTGTTATGTACTATTAGCTTTGGTAAACGTATGGATCCAACTCTCTCTTAGGCAAAGATTGAGAAACTTGGAACAGACAAAATGCTATATTTCACACTGATTTTATCTTTTTACTTAATCTACTTTGAAAACTTCAATTGATTTTTTATTAATAAAAAAAAAAATTAAAATTGAAAAAGGTTCAAAATTGCCGCCACCTCTCTTTCCAGATGGACATCATAAAGCAGGATTTGCCTGCAACTCTGAAACATTTCCAGAATCTTCCACAATCAATTGATGACACAAACAGTTTTATTCAATCTCTCATTAGAAAAATCAGCAGTGATGACTTCAATATTTCAGGGGTAAGTACTGGCATTTTTTCTTTTCTTTTTTTTTATGCACATTGTCATATCATATAATTGAATTTTGAAGCCAATCATTGGCCATAGAGCCAATATCTGTAAGGCATGGAGTGATGGGTTTACTATACCACAGTAACCCAGGACATGCTGACAGTGGTTCCTCAGTTTGACATCAGTTGTCTGTCACCTTGACTGGTTCACAACCAAAGCTAAGAGCCCCATCCTGCCTCTACTATTCATTAATCATTTTCCCAAGTGTATTAAGTGAAAATAGAACAGCAACTTTTCTCAGCTCAAATACATTTTATGTGATGTTAACCAACCTCAAGAATTACAAATAAACAGCTTTAGAAAAGATGGAAAAGCTTATTCCATGCCAATATAGCTTAGTAGGTATCTGCACTGATGACATGTTGCAGAAAAGAGACAGTTCTTTTTTTTTTTTTTTTTCCTTTTCATCCTTAAGGATGCTGAGAATACCATGGACTGATTATGTGAGCACCAACAAAGTTTTAAAGTAAGTAAAAACATCAGAAAGAGATAGTTGAAATTTATAAGGCACATAATGAGGAAAGCAGGCTCGTAAAATCCAATACTCACAGGACAGATTGAGGGACAGGAAAACATTGCATTATCTGCTTAGTGTGCTTGAGTAAATGGATAGTCGAACAGGGTTTTGGAGAAATGACAGAAAATAAAATTTATTAAGTGCTACAAAGGACAGGAAGTTGTGGAGAGCCATAATTGCCTACATCATGAGGGGACATGACATAACAAGAAAGCAATTTTTTTTTTTTATAATCATGTTTTTTGTATTCATTTTTAATTGATCAAAATTCTGAGATTATTATTACTAATTATCAGATAATTATTATCAATTATTGATTATGAGATTAATTATTTACATTAGTCAACATTTTAAAAAAAAAACTTCACAAGAGCAAATTTTTATTTTCACTGATACTTAAAACATCAAAATAGATGTTTATATGATCAGGGTTCACTTGAGATATCTTTTTGGGAAGAGCCCATAAGTTCTAAGTGTATTATAGTTCAATCTTTCCTGATCTAAATAAATTTTGCCAAAGATTATCAGATGTCAGGAACTGTTGTGATCACATATAGTTCATACATCACAATGAAACACTTTTGATACATTTATTATACACCTACCATGTCTTGAGTATCATGGATTAATAGAATTAAAAAAAATATAATAAATAAGAAGAGTTTCTTCTCTTGCACTTCTTGCTTGTGGAACTCTCTACCAAATTATTATTTTTCTGTCAACTGCAATCTTTAAATTAAATGCATTTAAAAATTTAAATGCATTATTGTCATCTTCCATTTCCTTGAATCCTGTTCTTTTATCATCCTCTCTCTCTCCAATTTTATTCTCTCAGTTTCTTTCACCCTCAATAACCTCTTCCAACATTAGTGGCTTTATTGCCTTGTTTGAGGTGAAATGATTAAAAAAAAAAAAATCAAATTTTTGTCCAAATTAAAAGACCAGATTGCAACATTTGTATTGGTAGAATCCATAGATAGCAATCAAAAGAGTAATGTGATTAAATTTTGGTTTGAATAAAAGAAAGATAACTCAGTCAATTTACAAGACTTTTCTCTATACCATGACACCTACTGGACTCCTTCTGCATGCTGAAACCTGCACATTGTTTGAATCTCAGCACAGATGGTGCACTGGTATGAGTGTTAAAACATCAAGAGGTGGCCAATGACTTAGGAAATTTTATTAGAATATCTACTACCCGCACCTTCCCTCTTTTACATACTCTCTCCCCCAGGTCAAAATTGCTATTGCTCTTTAAGGTGTTGCAATTTTTTGTCAGTGTGAGAGAGCATCAATAAGTTTGTAGCTTGACCTGTAGCTTTTAAGTGAATTTAAATTTTAAAATCTGATGTTGCCTGTGACATACACACGCAGTTCATCATCAATCTGATGAAACCCAAAATGTGTTATTGGATATTTTTTAGAAACATTATACTTTCACAAATGTTTTTTTTTCCAGTTGTCATTAATATATATATATATATATATATATATATATATATATATATATATATATAAGGGTATATACACTAAAAACTTGTCAAAATAGCTATTCATTCTCATCTTACCTGCAGATATATATTAAAATCTGTGGGTGTTAAAAAAATTGTTTTTATAGCTTTAAAAAAATGGACATTTTGAGACCATTAAGTCTAAGCAGCACCTTCCTCCTGTAAGCTGCTGGAATAGCTGCTGGTCTTAATGTAATCTATCTGGCATTTATATTGCTGATTCTCTGGTATATTTTGTTTTTTTCTCACTTTTATTTGGTCACTGTATACATATTTATATTTTTTGCCCTCAACTGAGCCCTGAAGAGTGAGGTATGATAAGCGGTTAGCCCTTTTTTATTGTTTAATTTTTTTTCAAACTACCACTTAACAGTAAATAATTTTATTTTATTTTTTGAGATTTCCTCCTTCTTTGTTTTATATATTTTTGAATATATTTATATATACTCTTAAAATGTTCTTTTTTAAGACCCCAACTTAATATATCTTTTATATATATATATATATATTAAATATAATATCTTTTGTATTTTTTATGCTTACAAATACTAGAGGCATTGAGTATAAAGAAAAAAAGCCCTACCAAAATCAATAAACATTTTATCAAATTTAGGAACAAGCATACTAAAAAAAACATTACAAATATGTATGTAAACATGTGCTGAAAAGCTCATATTCTGACAAAGAATAGATTCTGAAATAAATTCTAATGTTTGGTCAGACTTTAGTAAGTGGGTCAGACCAAGAACATTTTAACCCCTCAATCCTAAATACATTCATCAGGTGCACAGACAAAAAAAATTAATTAATAAATAAAACCGATAATGTGTTTTTTGTGCAACCATTGAAGACTTTTCCTTTGCATTTAGGGAATTGGTTTTCTCACCATGAAGTACAATGTTTTGCTCAATTACATCATTGACTTGGCTCTGGTAATGCTTGCAAAAATCAAAGGAAATTCCTTGGAAAAGAATTATGCAGTCGAGAGACTTGTTGAAAACAGAACGGTAAGCAATTTTACTTCTGCTTAGATTTTTGAGATATATATATATATATATATATATATATATAAAAGGCTCAAGTACTCCATGGTTATAATTTATTACATTGGAATCATAATCACGATCCAATTCATCAGACCTACAAATTCAAAAAGAAATCAGAAAATATAACTCCAACTATAAAAAAAACAAAATTTTAATGAAACTAACTGAAATTTTATTTTTTTTATACCTGGAGTTATATTTTCCGATTTCTTTTTGAATTTGTAGGTCTGACGAATTGGATCGTGATTACGATTCCAATGTAATAAAATTATAACCATGGAATATTAGTGTTTGAGCCTTTTATACTATATCCTTGCTCAGTCCTGGACATTGAGCTCTACCTGGATTCTATCCTCTTGGAAATTATATATATATTGACCACTAATATTATCTATCTATCTATCTATCTATCTATCTATATATATATATATATATATAATGTGTGTGTGTGTGTGTGTGTGTGTGCTATCAAAAACTTTAGAGAATTTCAATTTGTAGCAGTTTTATTTTGGCAAATCCAGAGTACTAGATTGTCTAAGCTTGTACTTTGGGACTTTTCTGTAAGTAAAATTTATAGATTATTTATTCTTGGGGTTGATTACTAGTAAGTGAAAGTGAAACCCCTCCCCCAATCCTTTTGCTAGACTGATTTTTCTATTAAAATTTCTTCAATGCTTGTAATGCCTATTACTTATTTGCAAGCAAATCTGAACATTGCTTTAAGAGAAGATAGAAAATGTGACACTGAAATCCAAAGTGTGTCAATTAGCAAAAGATGCATTCCAAAAGGTAAGCAAAATACTTGTTTTAAAAAGCTGGGGAGGTCATTATACACAAAGAAGTGTTTTGAACTACTATATAATATCAATCCTTCTCTATGGCAGTGAATGGAGGGCAATTTCCTTACAGATGAAGAGGAAACTGGAGGCAGCAAAAATTCTGATTCTGCAGAAGGATGCTGAGAATTCCATATGAACAATGGGGACGTTTTAAAGAAAATGGAAACAAAAGAGCACATAAACAGAATCGGAAAGCTGAAATTTCTTGGAGAATTTGACATTGACATGTGACATAACAAAGGCAAAAGGGACTGGAGAAAACAATGGACCCCTCCCCCTCTGTGTGCTTGTGTGAATGGATAGTGGAATGGAGATTGGAGGGGAGGAGTAAAAAGATAAATGTCACTAAGAACTACAATGAATAGGAAGTTGTGGAGAGTAATGATCGTCCACCTCCTGCAGGAACACTGCACATAGAAGTTTATTGCTCAGTTGTAATATTGAACTGAAGTTTAAACTGTTTTACTTTCTTACCAAATAAAAAAAAAAACTTGTGCTAATTTTTAAGGAAGAGAAGTAGATAATTAATACAATTTGAATTTAACATGCCTCCCCCTACACATCCTCCCAGCCCCATGCCTCTTCACCTACACATCCTCCCAGCCCCATGCCTCTTCACCTACACATCCTCCCAGCCCCATGCCTCCCCCTACACATCCTCCCAGTCCCATGCCTCCCCCTACACATCCTCTCAGCCCATGCCTCTTCACCTACACATACTCCCAGCCTCATGCCTCCCCCTAATACTCTCAGCCCATGCCTCTTCATCTAAAAATCCAAGGAAATAATTAGCTGATTATTTCTCTTCAGATTTGGGAGAAGATCCAACCCATTGATCAGAAGCTACGATATCAAATAGACAAAGTGGTACAATCAGCTATCACAGGCCAAGGTAAGTCAGATAAGCCTTCAGAAGTATGGGATGCAAGTTCAAATCTCATTAATAGTTTTTTTGTTTATTTTCAGTGTCTCTTGCCAATTTAATATTTGTTGAGAACTAAAAGTGTTGCAATAAAAAATTAACTGGTTTACGAAAAAGATTTTCTCTGTGGTAAGCATGTAAATAGGTGTATTTTTACTAAATTTCATGTGAATTCAAATTTCTGAACAGTTTTGCTCTATCACCTCTAGTCTTTTTGCTTTTACATATCACATTTTTATTATACTGTATGTAAATTCAAAATATAATGTGTTTATTTTATCTAATACAAAGGCATATTACAGAAAAAAAAACATTAACAGAACTAAATGACTTGAGCATCTATGCTGGGGTTCTACTTTCCTTACTTTCTATCTTAGTACTAACTTGGAGGAGGAACCTTTCTCCATGATCATCCCTCACTTCTCTGAGGTTTGAAGAGAAGAAGTTAAATGTGGGAGTGAAGGAAGTGAATTTTGGATGACATTTGTCATCGCATATCTTCATAAGCCTGTAACAACTTTACAATACACTCTTGGTAATTTGGTACTTGGGAATTACCAAGGAAGCCATGGCAGACTGGCTTAAATGCTTCTCATGCTCTTGATTCATTTAAGAGAAGCAGCTCTGCAGTAGCACAACTTGTTTTCCATGTCGAAGAATGAGTCAAATTCCTTGTTTCATGTCCTGAAACTGGTCATCTTTTCATCTACAGTGACCAGGTTCCACTGCTTAAGCCAGGGTGCCAGTAGCTCTGATTACTGTTTAGATAGTTACAAATCACAGATAAAAGGTCATTCAGATCATCCTAGATGGTCCACTTAATCCTGAATAAACAGGGATATTGTCTTCAGAAGAATTTTCCTCTAAAGGTAATTTTTCATATGCTAGAATAGAATCTTTATGTTCTGTGGGTGTATGGACTAGCAGATCATCTGAGAAAGGAACAGGTCTCAAAGCTGAAAAAAGCTTGGAATATTTTATTTTTTGTGTATTGAAACCAGTTGTATTCTTTAGACTAAATAATAATCATCTGCATGATTTTGTTGCTCTCTCCACAATAAAGTTGAAGACTGTTTCCTTGTCATGAAATTCTGCAGTTTGTCCATTGTAACAGGGTTTACAACAGATGTATGGAGTCCAGGATTTGTGCTGATATTCAGTTTTACAATCAAAATAAGTAATTCTCATGAGAGGATTGTTTAGTGCTGTGCAACTCTTGTGAATTCCACACAGATGTAACAGAATGAATTTATCTTATTGATGCATCCTTGGTATTTTGAAATTCCTGAAGCCATTGTAGAGATACAGTGTATTAGCTCCCAAAAATGTAGGAAACAACATAAACATTAATCATATATATATGTATGTATATATATATATATATATATATATATATATATAATATCCATGCATACCAGGCATTCGAATTTGAAGAGGATTTCATTTTGCTGCAATGAAACTTGGCTTACTGGGACAAGTATAGGCTGCCAAAGGAAGCCATTATACCAGTTTTTTTTGTTTTGTTTTTTAAAGAAAACAATTCTTAAAATTTAAAGTAAAAAGAAACTAACAATGTCCTAAATAGGACACATCTGGCAGCTTTGAATGCATATACATGGATACATTTTACATATATGTATATCTCAAAAACTAGAGGCGATGAGTGAAAACAAATTTCAAAATTGAAATCAGAACCCAAAAATTATGTTAGAACAGCCATTTTTATGCTCGCCTAAATTTCTTTGTAAATCAGTATAATTAGATGAATGATAAACAAGTCAAAAATTAATAATGAAAATGAGTTAAAGACATTCAAACAGCTGATGATGATTACTGTCCGCTCTAAGTGTAAACAAACAATATGGTAAGATTTATTGTCATAAAAAATGAATGATAAATTTTACTAGTTTTTTAATAAGCTTAGCTTAGTCTGCTACAAGACTGCAAATGTGAGATACAAAACAACTCATTTCTTTAGTCATAGTTCTATAAGATTAACTTGCTCCACAGAAAATTATTACTTAGTCTGGCACAAGGTCATGAGTATCAGATTCTCTTGTTGTTGTTGAAATTGTTTCTCAGAATGACATTAGGTTGTTTCCCAGGAAAAGCTGATTATAAAAAGAGAAAATAAAATAGCATTTTTAACAATATTCTGGGGTTAAGTCTGGCTTTGTATAAATGCACAAATTGTTGTTTTAATCAAAGTAATTTTCAAATCCTAAAATATTTCAGAAGGTGACAATCCTTTGAAATACAGAGCTCGTCCAGAAAGAATGAGATCCAAGGTGAGTCAAAAGATTTTTCATATTTATTAAAAATATAAAAGCAGACACATTAAAAAGCAATTCATAACAATAAGAGTGGGTAACATATATATATATATATATATATTGTAATTTTTTCATATAGACAAAAGCAGTTTACTCACTACAAAGATGCAACTTCGACTGTTGAGAACCAAAATGGTTATGAACAATTCAGACAATTCAGAGAATTGTTAATAACCATTTTGGTTCTCAACAGTCAAAGTGCAATTAAATGCAGTGAAACAAAGTTGCATCTTTGTAGTCAGTAAATTGTTTTTGTCTATATGAAAAAATTATAATAAATAAATATTGCTCTATTATTGGTATTGACACCCTCATTTGAATTAATGCTGTGAACATTAGAATTTATGTATTATTTTTGCTCTCTTTCCATTCAGGTATATATATATATATATATATATATATATATATATATTTATTATAGTAAATTGGTAATACCGAAATATGACAATTAAAAATGTGCACAACGACTGAAAAATATAAAACCTCAGACATTTAAGTTCATTTTGTTTTTTTTGTTTTTAATGTTGCATTTTTAGTTTCTTAACAGAAATTTGATACAAATGCTCTACCTAATGTCCAATGTTAATATCAGAATGAGTATGCAGTAATGTTCATTTTACACAAAGCCCAAAGATAAAAGCTATCTCTAAAGCATTATCTGAAAACTAAAAGTACTTATATATGCACGCATTTCATAGACTAAATGTTGGGACACATATTTTTTGCAATGAGACACTGTCTAAAATTACAAAAATTAAATTTAAAAAAAATGACAGCATGTCTAAAATTATATAACATAGCTTTACAATCATGAGAATTACTCTGTATACATTTTGAAATTTATTTATATTCAGAGCATACCTTACATGTTTGGCATTTGTGTGGGAGGACTATTATAGAAAAGTATGAAATGTTAAAACTTTTACTACATTCTTCCCAAAGATACTAACCATGACTATCCATTAATTAACTTATTGGAATGGAATATTGATAACAATACATGAAGTCCCAGATAAACCTTTTAAGAAGATTAGAACATAATTCTGATAACAGTCAGTATTTAACCGCAAACAATATTTTGTCACAAAAATGGAAAAGGAGACAAAGGGGATATTTTCTACATGGGAATATTGTTTTGTGTAATTTTTGGAAAAACATTTTTTTCCCCACCAAGCACAGTAAATAGACATTATTTTAAGATAAATTATTTTCTTTACTCTCCCCCACCTATATAAAAATATCAAATTACTTGATGTCTTCCATTTAAATTATCAAAATACACTACATACTTTGCCACTATTGACTTTTCTTTTTCCTTTTTTCCAGTTGAAGGAGAAAGCTGATGAAAGTGAAGATGAGGATGGCAACAAGAAACGAAATGTTTATATTCCTCCAAAACTTGCTGCCACTCATAATGGTAAGTTTTGGAACAAGTATAAAAATCAGTTCTTTCTTTTTTTCCCTGCTGAAGAGGGTCCAAGAAGAGAAACCCTTTTTTATTTTATTTTTTAGAATCTTAATAATAGATCAATTGTTGTTGTTTTTGTCAAGATGATGTTTTATTTTTCATTCAATCTACAGTGTGGGTGAAAAAAGGATTTTATTCAGTAAAAGTGTTCCTTCCCAGCAAATGTAAATGTCTGTTTTGAAAACATGATTCCTAAAGTGGCAATATGGCTTATACAAAAGTAGTTTCCATTACAACAGCCATATTTTGTTGCTTTTTCTCTGTATAAAAGCAAAGAATATACTGCCTTTTATGGAGGCAGTAAGTGATCCTCCTATTAGAGGAGTATCCAATCATGACACCAAAGCAATAGGTTTGCATTGTATGTTCCTTTCTTTCTGATAAGACAATTTTAATTTCAAATGCCATAATATTTGCAAAGAATTAACAAGCAGCAACATAAATTAAAACTGTATTTGTATAAAACTGTATTTTGAATTAGGACACCCATATAAAAGTGGACACTAAATGATTTTTATCTGAGTCTGAAGTGTTTGGTGTTTGTTTTTTTGTTTTGTTTTGCTTTTTTATGACCACCAGTAAAGTCTATGAAGTAAGATCTTCAAAGCAGCCACTCACTTGACCAAAAAGGAATAAAATAGATAAATAAATGAAAACTTTCAGACATGAGTGTCACTTGGCTGGAAATTAGAAAATTTCACTCACTGCTTTATATAAACATTGACGGTTAGAATTGAAAGTAGTTTCATTTCTGTTGACTTCCAGGCTGCCTATTGAAATAGTTTGAAACTACTCGTGAGTAAGTTGTGAGGTAATGATGGGCAGAGGGGGGTGTTTGAAGAGTCTTTATTGGTCAAAGGGAAAAGCTGATCCATTAGTCTGTTTGTGACAGATGTAGAAGAAATTGTCCCAAGTGTCACTTAATCACCCCCACTGCAGACGGTGCAAGTGAATCTCTGAATAAACAACCAAATACATTGGAAACAAGATTCATGTTTTTATTTTCCTTGTGAACATACTCCCCGCTACCATCCTCGCTTTTTCTTTCCACCTTCTTTTCCCTCTCACTCTGCCCTATTGGATATTTTCTACCAGCCAGGTAATCAAAACAACTAAGGGAAGTAACTACGCTTCTTTTTTTTTTTTTTACTCGCAAAAGCGAATTTACTTCCCATACTACTGTATTTTTTAGACGCAAGTAAATATTCAATTTCCGCGAGAAATGTCTTCTTTGACCATCCAGGGTTAACCTAAGTCACTTTAACATAGCCTATCTACATACTGAATTTAATTGAAATCCATTCAGTTGTTTCTGAGTCTATAGTGGACAGGCAGACAAACTTTTATTTCTTTATTTTGTAATTGTATAGATATTTAAATTTGTTTTGACTTTAGAAAAATTATGCACCCTATATTTGTTAGAGTGTGAGCACTAATTTCCTTTAGCTCTGTTTGTAAACAGAAACCTGTTTAATTAGTGTGAGTACAAATGTTAGCATCAAGGAATATATCTTTGGTATGAATTAAAATATTTCAACAAAATTACTTTTCTAAATGTAACAATCTTTATGATTCAACTTCAGTGAGTTAGATGAGAATAACTAGTAACCTTTTGGTATTGAAAATGTCTCTTAAATATTGATGCAATGGAAAAACCTGTCACCCATAAATGAGTGACTACATTATAGGTAGTAACTCACTATAAGTATCTGTTGGTCAACGGACTACAGAGACTAGCTGGGATCTGTTGAGTACAACTCAGACTTACACAAGAACTATGACCTTTCAATAGTAGCACTCACTATTGGATTGACTTGCGACGACCTTGTGTATAACTGTTACCTTTAGTCTTGTTGTACTGGTTTTTTACAATTAACCTTTACTTATTTTATCCACCTTGTTTTTCAAGCATATATTCCTATTAGCACGGAATATAACAAATATCCTGTTTGTGTGTTATATAATAATATGGGGACCTTCACTAATTTGCAATACCTGAGGTTTAAAATGAATTTTTAAAAATAAAAAAGCTCTCATTTTAGCTTTAATTGAAAGCTAAAGAATTAAATTTACTATTTCCCGTAAGCAAAATACTCTGGTGTATTTCAAACAGAAATTATATTGATTGGAATCAGTTTTTTTTTTTCTTTGCTAAAATAGCTGATTAGCACCTTTTTAGTTGTCTTCCATCACAATGTAATTCTCTGTATTAGAAAACCTTCCATAAATAAAATATGCTTTTCCGAAACTTTATTTGAGGAATATTAGCTGATTTAAAGCATAATTAATCTGATTTGAAACAAATATTATTTACTTTAAGTTTAAAATAACACAGAAATGTATTTTTAAAACAAACTAGCTGTGTTTTTAACAGACATTAGCCATGTTTACATGATTGACAAGTGACAAAAAGGTGTTGACAACTTTATTGTTCTACAGAAACTTTATCTGTTACAACATAATTTAAGAAAATGATGTGAGTGCTTTTTTATATAATTTTTAAGTACTCAGTAATTTTAAAAATGTTGGACAATCTCATTTACACACACACACAAATCACAGTGTCTAATACAAATTAAATTTTTGTGTAAATACATTATTTTTATTTTAAACAAAATATATTTGTTATTTGCTTTTTCTTTTCTTTTTTTTATCATTTCACCCCAAGCAAGGTGATAATGTCATTAAGATACAAGCGAAAGTGAAAGAAAATGAGAAAAACTTTTTAGGAAAAGTAACCTGAACCCGAATCCTAAACAGGAAACAAAGGATAAACCCCAAACTCCTGTTCAAAAGACAGGGAAGCAGCCTATCTTCTTTTTGTGAAAATTTTGGTTGCCACTGCTTTTAGTTGAGGTAGAAGTATTGAGTGTAACAGACACATGTAGTCATTACCATAATGTTGATATTGGCAGAAAATATTCTTGTTGAAAAAAAAAATAGCATAAGTGTGCACTTTTTAATACTTATTGGATCAAATTGCTGTTAAAATGTATATTTTTTTAAAGCCCTGGTTCTATTATTTTTCTTCTTTTAGTTTTCTGTCTGTTCTTTACCGGTTCAATTCCTGTACCTGCTAAGTTTTTGCTTTGTGTGTCTCATTTTTTTTTTTTTTTTTCTTTTTTCCAACAGAAGCCTATTTGACAGCAAAAGAACGAAAAGAAAAATTAATTAACCGAGTTCGTAAAAGAGCTTTAGGTAGTTCATTATTGAAAGACCTTAAGAGAGAATATGATGATGCACCGGAAGAACATGGAGTAAGTTTTCTTGCTTTATTTCTTTTTAGTGTCTTTTTGTGTCTGCTTAACATCAAATAGCAGGAAAAAAATGTCAAATACCTGCATTTGAATTTTGAAATCACAACTTTAATAATATTTGATTTAAGCTTGACTGAAAGTAAAACATTTTCAAGATGAACTTATGTGTTCAATTGATGCAAAATACAAAGCTTGATTTGTAACTAAAAGTTTTTTTTAACAATCTATTCATTTTCTGATTTTTTTTGAGATGGTAATGTAATAATCAACCATAGCCACATTCACTAATTAGATCCTACAGTCTGTTTGCAAATAATGGGTCCTCAGGCTTTTATTATTATTATGTCACATGTCTTACATCTGTCTCCACACAAGTCCCTCCTATTTAAGATTCTCATGTATTTCATGAGCAAAACCAAGAAAAATAAATGCCAACCAATAATGTACACTGACATGCAAAATCTTTGGATCATTTTAGAAAATTAATTGCTTTTGTTCATTTTACCCCAAAATGATTGATAAGCAGTATGCTTTTCTCCGTACATTTGTTGATCTTTGAGGGCCAGAAAACAAATGACTGCATTTCCATTGATGTTGTATGTCAGATGATAAAGCATGTCATGTTAGGATAAAGCCATTCAGAAATACTGCACCACCAGTAAGAATTTTACCTTTTAAGCTCCTTTAAAAAAATTTTTTTTTTTTTTTTTAAAAATGTGATCTTTATTGCAATAGTAATAGTATTTAAGATTCTCATGTATTTCATGAGCAAAACTTACCTCAAAGCATGGAATAGATAATTAGTGTTATTGCCTTTGGCTTAAATTATTGCCTCAATTCAATATGGCATTGAATGGGACAAGGTTCAGATTTTCTCAATGTAAATTTTTTTCTATTCTATTTGACAATAATCACTTGGAGATTGCATAGTTCTCATTGGAGCGCTTGTTTCTTCAGTTCCCACCACAATGTTTCAATTATATTGAAATTAGGGCTTTGTGCTGGCCAGTCTTTAAAAAATTGAATAAACCTTTTTTGCTACAAGGAGCACTGTCATGCTGAAAAATTTCTCCATCTTTGTAGTTTGTCAGAAGATTACACCATAATAAACTAATAGTTTTCACTGTTTACATTTCTGTCAACTTTTACTAGTTTTATTCTACCATCACTTTTGATGCAACCCCACACCATTACATGTCCACCACCAAATTTTACCATCTTTGTGTTAGTATCTTGCATTATTTCTTTCTCCTACTGGTCTTCTTACATATTCTCTTGCATTAGAATGTAACTCGATTTTGCATACATCACCAAAAGTTACTTTTTGCCATTTTCCAGCATCCCATGTTAGATGTTCTTTTGACCAATTCACTTTTTTATTCCAATTTCTTTTAGTTAATGTTAGTTTTCTGCTGCTATACACTCGTTCAATTCCTTTTATCCCATTGCTTATGGAGAGAACTAGAAATCCATTCAGGCTTCTTCTATACCAAGCTTTATTGATGTTCAGCATTCCACTAAGTAACCAAAATATGTGACGACATAACCACTAATGACTCTAATGGGTTTTCCTCAAGTGGTTTTGTTTTTAGATTCCTTCTAACTTCAGGAAAAATGGTCACTCATCAGAGTTCTCCAACTTGTTCAATTTTCTCTTCCTTTCTATTTGTATTTAAAGTTTTCTCTTCCTTGAAGTTTGCCAATTAACACTGGTATTGGTAAGATTTTACAAGTACATTTATGAGCCATTTTAAAGCAGTTTATTGCACAATCTGTTTTCTTTCTTTCTTTTTTTAATGTAGTTCAAATGTAAGGATTTACTTTTGAGACTACAAACAAAAGAGTCTTATGTCTCCCTACTAAACCACAATCACCATCCTTTCTGTGAGTTGTGTATTGGTGTGAGAGATGTTTCTCTCGCTGGTGTTGACTTATTCATTTAGCTACAAGGCAAAGTAAATGCTAAAGTGCATAAGGATGTTATTTCACAGCATATCGTTTCTCCTCTAAGAGCATCTCCCATCTTGGCCCGTATTCTTTGTCACACTACAAAAATGGTAAGAAAATTCTTGGAATGTAATAATATTGAGGTTATGGCATGGTCTACCCAAAGTTCAACTCTCAATCCAATTGTGAATCTTAGAAAAGATCATCAGTGATAATCTTAGGGCAAAGAAATCATGTGTGGAAAGCTGTCCAGTCCTAAAATCTAAACTATTTGTCCCTCATGTGTCAAAGTCTACAAGAGACTCCATTATTATTCATTGGTTTAAAAATAATGAATATTATATCATACACCATTTCTTTCTGCCTGAATTTCGATAAATGATTTGTGGCAAGTTTTCAGTTTTCTCTGTCTAAATTTCTAGGATGAGGAATCCTCATTATTATTATTTTCTTTGATTTCTGGCGTTTACACATTTCTTTCCGGGTCCCGCCTAGGGACCTAAGGTTAGAAATGGCGTCATGACAAAAAAAAAAAAAAAATTACATAGATAAAGCCCTTCGTAAGGTGTGGGCTGTACTTGTCAGAACAATTTTTTTGTATCTCCTTGAGGCATGGACTTCCAGGAATCCCTTCAATTAGTCTACTGCAATCTTTTCCAACCAGTCCTAGGGCTCCAACTACAACAGGGATTGTTGATGTTCCCATATGCCACATTTTCAAGATTTCTATTTCAAGGTCCTTGTACTTTGACAACTTTTTGAATATCTTCAAATATACATTGCAGTCAGCAGGGACTGCCATATCAATAAGGAGGCACCATTTTTGTTTGTGGTCTTTAATAACAATATCTGGCCGGTTGGCCTTGATTGTTCTGTCAGTGTGTATTGTGTAATCCCATAGAATTGTAACAAGCCCTATCTCCGTGTGTTCATACCAGTCTCTTCCAGTAGAAGTTGCAGATTTTCCAGTGCAGATATCGGCCCACTCTGTCATGTCGGGTTTTATATTCAGTGGGTGCCAACACCGTACAACCTGATACAAGATGATCAATCGTTTCTGGATATTTATCACAGAATCTGCATTTTGGGCTGACACAATATTATAGTATATGTGCTTGATAATTCCCTAGTTAGCAAGCATTGGTCCTCTTGCAGCAAGGATAAAACCTTCAGTTTCCGCTTTCAACCCTGCACCACGTAGCCACTGATGGGTATGGGTTTTGTCACGTCAGCTTGTTTGGTACGGGCAGAGTATTGGCCATGAAGCGGTTTATCTTGCCATCGCTTCTGTAACTGGTCGGTTGCATTCGTCTTTGCTGTCTTTTTAGGTATTTTTCAGTTTCAGCGATGTGTATTGTGCTGTAGTTGCATCTCTATGCCCATTTGAAACTCCATTTTGAATTTGTTGGCTTCTTTCATTACGGAGTAAAGACGCTTACTACTTTCATGTTCCTTGACGCATACCATCATCCAGTCTTCTGTAGTTTCCAAATATCTTTGGAGGCCAATTGTTGTAGTTTTGTAGGACAGTTCTAGTTGAACTAATCCTCTGCCTCCTTCGGATCTGGGCACATACAGACGATCGACATCAGCTTTGGGATGATGCATGCGATAGCAAGTGAGAAGCTTTCTCGTTTTGGCGTCCATTCGCTTAATTTCGGCTATGGTCCAGTTAAGGACATTAAAGCTGTATTGCACCACAGGGACAGCTTATGTGTTTATGGCTGATATCCTGTTTTTTGAGTTTAGCTCAGTATTTAGTACCAGACGTACATGCCTGTAGTACACTTTTCTTATTTTTTCCTTCATATGGGGGTGTTGTATGCCATCTCCTTCGCTAATTCCTAGGTACTTATAAGCTTCACCATGCTCCAGTTCCCTAATCTTTGTGACAAAATCTAAATCTATTAAGGGTGTTTCTGTAATTCTACCTTTCTTGAAAGTTACTTTTTCACATTTATCTAATCCGAAGTCCATACCTATGTTGTCACTGAAGTATTTTACAATATTGAGGAGGCCTTTCAACTCATTGTCGTCTTTGGCAAAGAGTTTGAGATCATCCATGTAGAGTAGGTGATTGAATATTTTCTTATTTATTTTGTAACCATAGCTACTGTTGTTCAGTTCATGTGTAAGAGGGATTAAGGATAAACAAAACAGAAGGGGTGACAGAGAATCTTCTTGAAAGATTCCACGTCGGATCTTCAGACGGTTGGATATGGCAGTGCCCCCGGTGTGACTAATGTATAGTTTGGTGTTCCACATTCCCATACTGTGCTTAAGAAAATTTAATACCACAGGGGAGACTTTGTACATTTCCAAAGTCTTAAGGATCCAAGAATGTGGAACACTATCAAAGGCTTTACGATAATCAATCCACAGTGCACTTAGATTCCTGCGTCATCTCCTGCAATTTTCCAGGATCATTTTATTTATCAGAAGTTGATCTTTGCAGCCATATGAACCTCTTTTGCATCCCTTCTGTTCCAGCGGGGGAGTGCTGTTTGTTTCGAGAAAAGAATAAGTACAGTTCGTCAGTACAGACATGATCAACTTATACGTTGTGGAGAGACATGTTATCAGTCTATAATTTTTCAGGTCATCTGTTTCAGTCGTTTTTGGTATGAGGTATGTCATACCTTCAGTAATCCATTCCAGGATTTTATTGGGATTATTTACAAGCGTTGATAATGTTTTTGCAAGAATTTCATGGGTAGATGTGAGATGATACAGCCAGAAATTGGGCAACTTGTCATTTCCTGGGGATTTCCATTTTTGGGATTTCGTTAGAGCTTGCCTAACATCATCTGTGGATATATTTTCCCATTCTTGCAGAGGTGTATCCACCATTCGTTCTTCTTCACGCCATATCCATTCTGCATTTGGGTTATATTCCTTTGGGCTGCTCCAGATATTTTCCCAAAATGTCTGTACATTATCAATCGATGGTGGCCTTTCGACATGTATAGGTGTTTTCCAATTTCCTGTAAAATTTCTTAAGATCTGTTTGGAATATTTTATTTTGGCGATAGAACCTACAACGTTTTTCGTATCGTCTTTTTCTCTGCGCCTTGAGCTGAAGTTTCTGCTTCAGCATTTCCTTGATTGATGGAATATCAATTAGGGATTTAATGTTATATTTTCGCTTGATCTTTTTGAATTTACGTGTGGAAATATTAGGGTTTCTGGTGAGCTCATCTAATATAGAAAGCTCACATCTGATTTGTTTTATTTCTCAAATCAGTTTGGTTTTCCAAGCTGGTTCTCTGTGTCTGTTAATTTTATTTATTGTCTTGACTCCAAGCTTCTGAGTCGCTGTTAAAGCTGTTGCGTATATGACGTTGTTAGCTTCTGTGATGTTTCCTGGTGGTTTATCTGTTAACAGTGTTTCCAGAGCAGCATTGTGTATTTTCACGATGTGCCTGTTGGAGTTCGTCATATGGATTTTCGGGAGCTGGTCTCTGTCTGACAATTGTATGAATGTTACTCTGCTGAGTACTTGGATGACGTCATTTTTCACGGTGATTTCAACCGTGGTTTTCAAGGAATTCTAACTTATTGTCACTGAAGATGACTCAGGTACATTTTCTGGAGGACTGTAGGTTGTGTTTAAGGTAGAGTCTTGGGTTTCATTTCCTGGGAGATTATTTCGTATTTCATTTTTCTTTAGCGTCCACCTCATCCTCTGTTGCATTCCTTATTTCTACATTCGTCTCAATAGAGTTTGAGTGATGGGTCATAGTATTTTGTCTTATATCTAATTTTATCTTATCTATTTCTGCCTTTGAGAGTCTGTTGTTTCACATGATGTCCCTACGGACATTGGCAAGCATGTTTGGATTGAGGTTAGGTCTTATATCATTTCCCACCGTACTTCTCCATATTTGGTATGTTTGATTGGTGGTGTTCTTTGCTGGGTTTTTGAGTGCAGTGAAGAAGGATGTCATGACTTGTCAATACTCTTTGCGGCTCCATTTCGTTCATTTACTTTTTATTAGTCGATTTGGTATTGAATCACTTGGTCCAAGGTTGGTAATAATCCGGTTTTGGTGACCAAGTGTCTCTTCGTGTGTGGAAGAGTTTGTTCCAGTGGCAGACTTTTCGTCCTCGGACTGGTTCCTCTCTGAGTGACGCGGCCCTTGTTGTCCCGGTTGACGGTCAATCCGGTATGAAATATTATTCGTATTCATTGAAATTGGTAGAGATGTGTTTTAACCTTGACCGCCAAGGGGTAATTATGTACAGTTTACCAGCTGTAGAACGAGTCTTGAAGAAGATCCAAGAGCACGCCCAAACAATGAGATTGTGGATTTATTAATATAACGAAGGTTGAATAGTTCAAAAGAGTGTATGGTATTCAGTGGGGTAGACTATACTAAGTTTTAACTTAGTATAAGTCCAAGTGACCACTCCAAGGGAGATAATTAGATTTTAGTATATAGACTTAAGAAAAAAATAAATACAATATGATCCCTGTCAATGCGGATACATACACATGTAAATTATATACGTATACATACATACACACACACATATATATATATATATATATATATATATATATATATATATACACACACACATACAGGGGGGAGAGAGAGAGAGACAGATATTAGTAAACATGTACACATATACACAACGACAGAGATTTGGGATGCTTAAAGTAAGTGAAAAAAAAAGTGAAAAATGGACACGGATGTCCGCTTAAGGTCGGGGGGGGGACAGAAAAATTGAAATATACGGTAAAAAAAAAAAAATTATTATTATTATTTACATGTGGACTATTATCCTCATCTCTATTGTAGTTATCACAGCATTTTGTCCATTGTACTGTTCAGCCTTCATTAGGTGTATGCACTTAATTCAGTAGTGAATATTAATTAATAGGTTTGAACATTATTCAGTGAAACATTCCCTGTAGATTACTTGGATTGACATAAACCTGATGAAGACCAAGGGGCACAACAGCTTGAAACTGTGATAACAACAAGGATGGAGACAATAGGCTGTATGTAAATAGTACAAATAATAAAGTTTTAAACTATTCAATTTGTTTTGATTTTGGTAAAGGTTCACAATTAGCTGTTTCCTGGTTTTTAATTATTTTTATTTGAAACTATCAATTTTTACAGTTAATTTCTAGAGTATTCTGTACCATTAGGGCAAGTGCTGATTTTTGGAAGCATAGTATTGCACTCAATTTGAAAGTTGGGGTTTGACATGATAAAAAAATGACACAAAATGTTTTTTTTTTTTTTTTTAATGAGTTTAAAGATTAAGTTTAGGTTCAAAATCTTAGTGTTGAAATTTAATTCTGGTGATCAGTGAAAGTCTTAGTGCACAGCCTTATAAAATTTATAATTTACTGAAACTTTACAAATTGTATATGGACAAGATGCAAGGCACATGCAGATTATTACTAAATCAATCTACTCATCAACTAAGACCCTCATTTACTAGAAGGAAAATATTACTGAACAATGTAGCATTATTATGATGTAATTTTATAAAGTGCAGTAGTTTTAGTGTGATTTTCAATAAACAATGCAAATTTAAAACATTTTGTCTTATAATTTGTTCCCAGCAGTATTATGATGTTATATACACTTTTAGCTATGTTTTTTTTATTAATTATTATCTAACAAATGATCTAGAAATCTTCTTCATTTAGTTGTCTTTTTTGTAATCTTTTACAATTTGTTTACACAGTATTTAATTATTGAATTGAACAAAAAAAAATGCATATTTTGCTTGTGATTCATAATTAGAATTTTGATTTGAATACATTTTCCATTCAATGTATTTACTACAAAAAATATAAACTTTTATTTGGATTTATTCTTGAAATATTAAAATGCTGAAGTCGGTTTGTAAGCAAAAACCTGTGGAAATTAAGTATTTCTGTACATTTTTTCAGACGTTCTTTAGAATTGAATGCTCAAAAATTGGTAAAAGTTATTAATTTAGTTTTTGATGTTGGTTCTTTTCACATCAAACCCTAGCTTTGACAGCGAGTACAATGTTGATTTTCTAAAACTAGTGAAAAATCAACCTGCCCTACTCTACCATTCCCAGTCATTGTTTGCTGTCTCTTTTTATCATGTAAAGAATTTTTATCTGTCATCCACACCTTTTTTTTTTTTTTTTTTTGCTTTCCTGGGATGCTCTTCTTTGCCAATGTCACTAGATCTTCTTTTAAAATGTTCCACTTTGAGTTTCAAGTCCCACCCAAGCTATTATATTTGCTTTTCATTCTGTCAGTCTACATCTCTTTGCAACTTGTCATCCAATAGACTTTTGTATTGTAGCTTAGAAACTGTTTTGGATTTCTTTAGTTTTTTTTTATAATTTTATTCTGCTTTTGCATATAACTGGAAGGTGGTGACTCCCACATTGGCATTTGGATGTTTTAGAGTGTAAATCCTGAACCTTTTGTTGATTGTTATAGAGTTGATCAAATGAAACTTTGTCAAATCCTGCAGGACACATGTCAAGACCAGATTATGAATGACAAAGTTCTCCTCCACACAAAGTTGGAGATCCTAGAAACTATAATGACTCACCACTAACTTCGATGGGCCAGACACTTTGTCCAAATACCAAGTATCCACCTACCCAAACAAATCCTATTCTCAAAGCTTATATCTGGCAAGAGACCATGTAGAGCCTCATGTTGTTGATCCACAGATCAACTCAAAAAACCACCTTGCTGATGACTGAAATCTATTCAGTCAATTGGGCAGTGGAAAAAACTGCAGAAAGAAGCAATTGAAGAAGAGCAGTCCACAAAAAAATAAACGAACATCATTCAAAAAAAAAAAAAAAAAAAAAGAACCAAGAGAGAAATAGAAGAGATGAAAAGAGCCCAGAGAGAAACTAAAGTTCTCTATCCTTTGAACCCTAACCCTGTCACATGGTGACTGCGGCCATTTCTTCAGATCTGACATAGGGTGCATTTCATACAGAAGGAAATGTCGATGAGTACCCCACCAATACTCAACAACAAGTTCTGCCAATGACGACAATGATATAGTCAATCTGTTTTTTTTATGTCTCCTTCACTACTCCATGTTTATAATATCGGATATTCTTGAAACCAGGTGTTGGTTATTTGCAGTGCACTGTTGGAACCATCTTTCTTCCCATTCATTGCAGATTCTTAGTTTAAGCATGCCAACTATTTCATTTAATATGAAACGACACAAATCACTTTCAAACTTTAAAAAAAATATTTGCTGTGTCTTGGAAGTTTTCATCTCCTTTGAAAATTTTTGTGAGTAATTTTCAAAATTCATCGAACTTGATAAGGGATCACAAATTTTTTTCAGTGAAAATTTTAAGACAAAGTTGCAGTTACCTTTTTTTATTTTATTTTTTCAGCAATTTATGCTGAGATGAAAACTAAAATATGTTAATTTTTAATTTCAGAAAAGCCAGAATTTGCTTCACTTGAAAGACACTTCAGCCACAATGGAAAGAATAGAGTAAGTACATGAAATTCTGAAATATTTTAGGCATATTTTTTTTTCTCTCTCTGCAAAGTTAATCCTGACTAAACCCAATTAGGACAGTGTTTCAGTGAAATGGGAAAAATAACTCGCACATTATTTTGGTATTTTAGCATTAAAAATATTTACCAAGCTACTTTCTATTCCATTGTCTAAGATTAAAAAAGAATTTCATTATTCGACACTTTTTAAAAGATTTTAATTTCTTAATTTTTTTTTATTAAATGAAGCCTTATTTATTTTTACTAACATTTCTTCCATTTAATTTACTTTTCATTGCAACTATTGAAGCTATCAGTCTATAGTCATTAACGGGATATGTGGGTGATGAAATAGCGGGAGGGGATATGTGTCGGTGGTGAAATAGTGGCTTCAAATGAGAAATCAAAAAGCAGAGTTCAGATTCCATTCAGCTTCATTACATTCACTGATACACAAATACTCTTCCCCCAGCTATGGATTAAATATAGGATTTGTATCTGGAAAAACACTGTTATTCTTCAAAAATTGTTAATGCAATATTCACTCGTAAAAAAAAGGTTATGCTCCAAAATGTTTCAGCTATAAATAACCCATAATTGATAAATCATAAAAAACAAATTGATCCATCCATTAAAAGCATGGCTTGTAAAAATTAGTGATAATGCTACTAATACTATTAGTGTCACAATCGCAAGTGCTGTCATCCATTAGTGTTGTAGGGACACCACATCTACTGCAGCAGTGTTGCATTTTGGACACATTAGCACCTGATGGAGCTTGACCCTCACCAGGCTGGTTTGAAGTCAGCATTTTCCTCCTTCTAGACAAGGTTATAGAGCTTGGTCTGTCTGATATTTACTAGTGATATCAATATTTTTAACAATTTCAATACAATTCAAGATACTGTTCAAATTCCAATTCTGATAGCTTATGAAATAGATGTCCTTTTTATTTTAAAAAAAAATTGGGTCAGAGTTTAAATAATAAAGAGAACAATTTCTTTACATAAATCACTTAAGTGTCCAGCTACAGTTGACTTATTGCTTTACTTTAGTTATCAGAAATTAAAAAAAAAAATTCCAAAGTACACTTTTCTGTTTGGCATTGAATACACTTGCCATTATTATGGTTTGAAAATAATTGACATCAGTCAAAATTTAAATTTTTCACTTTTAGATGTTTCTAGTTTTCTGTGTATGATTTGTAAAGATTCAATTGTTATAAAGCATTAAAATAAAAATAAGATTAAAAATTATAAAATCTTCATAAGGATGAAAACAACTGTAAATGTTTATTTTTGCATGAGATTGATTTTTTTTTTTTTTTTTTCCAGTTATTTATAAGATTTTTAGAAGATGAAATTTTATTAGTTTTATTTTAAAAATATTTAAAACAAACCATTTAACATGGTAAGATTCAATCATACCAAATAAAAATATTAGTAAAATAAAAGTGAATACAATTTTTGATGGAAATTTTAATACAAACTTTTGTGTGAAAAAGTTTTTTTCAGAAAACATCAAATAGTTCATTTTTTTAAGTAAATGAAAATCTGTTTTGAAAACTATAAAAATTTTATACCTTTCAAAATAGTTTTTATAATAAAATTTAAAGATATACATGAATTTCATAGAAACAAATTCAAGTTTCATAAAAAGAAAGTTTACTTTTTAAGTCTCGGTTATTGAAAAGATTTATTTTTGTTTACGTAGCATACTACGTAAACAAAAATTAATCTTTTTAATAACCGAGACTAAAAAATGATTTTATGAATTCAAACTATTATAAAAACAAATTGTTGTAATTTAACTGCCTCACCACAAGGTCAGTTTTTTAGGGGAAGAAATCAAATATGACATTTTCGGGAATTCCATATAATCATTTTCTTTTTTTTTTCGTTTTTATAAATTAAAAATGAATTCATTTTTTGTTTTGATTATTATTATTATTATTATTAAATTAATAATTTATAATATTAAATGGTTAAATTATGTTTAAAAAGAAATTAATAAAAAAATTTTGAACTGAAACAGTTTCAACTGGTGAACTTTATGAAAAGTTTGAGAACTTAATAGAAACTTGTTGCACATTGTTTTGTTTTTTTTTTCACACAAGTAAAATAAATTTACATCATACTTAGGTGTTATTATGATCTATAGATTTTAAATTTACTGATAGTTTAAAATCAATAATTATTTATATCTTTTTATCATTAGTTTTAAACAAAAAAATCCAAAGAATCATTTTTGGAATTGGAAATTAGGTTCAAAATGCTGATTCCGATACACCAAAAAGTTCTGATATTTCCAATTCTTGATTCTGATTAATCGTCCTATCACTATTTACCTGTAGCTGGGGAGAGAAGAGATGAATTTGAATGTTTCCTAAGGGTACGTGTGTATATGTGAATGTAATGAACTTGGTTCTCTGATTTCTCGTTCGTAACCACTATCCATTATGGCAACCTTTCCTCTACGCTATTAATGTACATCAATGCAATAATAAATGTGGGTGGGAAGGGAATAAAGAATGAATTTAAAAACTTAAATTTGATCTGCCAACTGTAGGACTCTCATAACTCAAGTGGTAAAGTCATAGAAAAAATAGGTTTTCTGAAACAAAAGGGATACAAGTTCAAGCCTTACCAAAAGTGCATCATTTCCAGTAATTTCCATGCTGTCTATTCACTGCTTTACAGATTTTGTTTCCATAATTTTAAGGGTTTATTGCAAATCAGGAGTAAATTTTAAGAGAGGAAATTTTTCTTTAGACAAATACCATGAAATACATCTTCCATAATTCTGAAGATGTCTCTTACTTCTTGAAATAATTTCTTTTTTCTTTTCTTTTCTTTTCTTTTTTTTTAGGTATGAAGAAGATAATTTTGTCAGGCTTCCAATTACAAAGAAAGAAAAGGTAAGAATCTGATACATAAAAATGAATTATAAATATATATTAATGTATATTTTGGCAGCAACTTTTCTTTCAAACATCTTTCATTGAATACAGTTGACAAAGAAGACTGAATTAATTTTTTTCTTTTCCAGCATTCTAACATATTTCCATTTTGTAGGAGTTAAGAAATAGAAAAATTGTCCATAATTTTTATTGTCCCAAGCACTTTTGGCCACTTCTATAGATATTTTCAAGGATTTTTGTCTCGGTGGTGTTATTTTTCCCTTGTGTTTTGACTGTTACATTGAAAATTATGTTTTTTTGTTTTTTGAAAAAGGGGCATTCATTCCAAGCTCTCATGTGCTACACATACAATAAGAATTCATGAAAGCAACTATTTTTTATTTTTTAAAAATTTTCAAGTCGCCATTTTCACAATTTAAATAATGTAAGGTGTATGATAGGAGAGAATTATTTATTTGTGTGTGTGTGTGTGTGTGTGTGTGTGTATATGTATGTTTCATTGAATAACTGATAAATTTAAAATTCTAAAACCACTATAACAGAGCACATTCACATGTTTTTAAAAATCACTATCACAATGGAATGCAGATTTTATCGCAATTACAATAAGTTTATAATTTACCCCTGAAAATGATCTTAGAAAAGTTCAAAAGTACTTAGGTTAAAAAAAAACAGCACCTTCCATAATGAATTTCATCTTAACATCAAGAAACTGATTAAACAATAGGGATCTGTATAAAAATAAGTAGACACAATATGTCTACATTATTCAGTGAAACATGTTTTAAATGCCTAAATATACATACATGTCACTTAAATCTTTTATAAGCTCCACTTTACCATTTATTCTCTTTTAATCAAATGTTATGTTGTACAGTGTGCGATGGATAAATTGTCATCAAATTACACAAAAGTGAAAATCACACTGACATCCTATTTTAACAGATATAGTTAACAAAATTACTCAAAAATAATCCTTTGTTTTTGGGTTATTACGTTTAAAGTTTACAATCAACGGTATTAAATGTACAATCACAAAATCCTTTTACAAAATTTGGCAGCAGGTTCCTGATTCTACTGTAAACTTTCTTTAAACTCAAGAACGAAGGAATTGCAGACATATATTTATATGGACTTTTGTTGTTTTGGTGTGAAGAACCAGACCCTAAAGTTTGTAAAAGTATTTTTGATATACCTTGTGTGTGTGTGTGTATGTATGTATGTGTGTATATATATATGTATATATATATATATATATGGTTGTATATTTCCTTCGTTTATGCATGTTTCATTAAAAACGTAAAAAAGGTATAGCCGAAAGCGCTCGGAAATATAAAACATTTGGACAGTTCTTACACACTCTTTGTCTGGAAAAGAAAGCTCTTGTTAGAACACAAGAAAAATTAAATAAAAAGCTTAACCGTAGTACCTTGTCTGTCATTTTAATGAAGCATGCATATATATATATATATATATATATGTGTGTGTGTGTGTGTGTTGTTATCAATTAAATTTTAGCATAGTTCAGTATGAAGATGTTCTAAAAAATATCTCTTTGCTTGATCAAGAACTACCTGTAAGATTATGGGAATTGTTTTGGTCTCAGAATTTTTAGCACCCCTTATATGTAAAGAATAAAAGCAGTATCTAGTTCAGAACTATCAGTGATTTCAAGCCTCTACTGGTCAGGGGTCTTTGTATACAGGGTGTCCCAGAATTATCTCTTTCAGTGAAATTGGGTAAATATTTTAAAAGCTGACACAATTTTACATTTATTACAAATCAAATAAATTTATAAATCTTACATCAAAACTTTATTGAAAATTTTCAGCATCTACTCCATCTGCACCCGTGCAAATTTCAAATCTATCCTTAGCGTTGGGAAACACATTTTGAAGCTTGCTTATTGAATGTGTTCTTTAATCTCAGTTAAACTCTTGATCTTTTGGCGATAAACCTTTGTTTTTTATGAAACCCCATGCAAAGAAATCTAGGGAATGGGGGTTAACATAGATGCATTTTTGTGTATTCATTATTAACAGGATTCTTAGAGGGAATGAAAATTAAATGTCAGAAATTTAATTTCTGTATCTATCTTTCTATCTCTCTTACTTTCCTTCCTCCTCTCCTTTTCCCCCTTGTGTGCAGTGTAAGAACTGCTGCTGCTGTGTCACGTGGCGAAATCGTGTCTAATGATTGGTCGTACGTGATTTTCCCGCTTGTTTTCGACTAGATTAGAGGAATCTAGTCAGTAGTAGCAGAAAAGGGTGCCGCAGTGTGGAGACGATAAGTCGTCTTGTCTTGCGACGAAAAGGAAACCTGCTTGAAGATAACCTGTTGTTGCTCTGACAAGGAAAACAGTCATAAAAGACCAGTCAAGAATATTTTGTCTAAGAGAATTGAAGATAAAGAACAAGTGTGTTCGCCGTGTGGAAAAAGTTTATTCTCTAGACAAGTGAAGTCAAGTCTGTTCAAGTAATCAAGTGGATTATTGTTCAGCAACCAAAGAACAAGTCAGTGAAGACTTATCTAAAAAAATCAGTTAAAGAAATTATTGTAAAGAGAATTTACAATAGAACATTCTCAAGGAAATCTTCTTTCGACAATCAGGTCGAAGAGAGAAAAAAGTCAAAATTAAGCGATTGAAAAGCTACCTTCCTTCGAGGAGTTATTTTGTCCTATTGGTGGACGAAATTCTGACGTGGAAAAACAAGATCTTCCAAGTCGTCTCTAGAAGTTGAATTTGTGTCACAGAGAAAGTTTGAAAAAACAAGTCTGTATTTATTTTTAACAGGAAGCTGGCTTATGTTCCAAGGAGAGCAACTCAAAAAATATCTAAAAACCTTTCTGCCCAGCTATTTTAAAAAAATACTAAAGCTATTTTTTTTTTTTTTTCTTGAACAGTAAGTCTAATTTTTCCCCTCTTTCTGCTATTTCTCTACCTCTTTCACTCTCTCTGAACTGTTGTTGGAGTCCTTTTTAAGGGCTCGCCAAAGGGATGTATTTGGCAGTTATTTTCAAGTTGTACCAGTGAACTTTAACATCAGACTAATTTTTTTTTCCCCCTCATTTTATTTTTTTTCTTTTCCCTCAATAAATTTTATAGCTATTTCAAGTGGTTTTTCCTTCTTCTTTATCTCACTTGTTATGGTTGTATATTCATGGTTTCAGGTCTCTGTTAACTGTGTTACGCGGGATTCCCGTCATTGGACGTAATGACAAAGTTTCCCAACCTTTTTTGCACCGAGTTTGGCTGTTACTAAGCTAAATTTCGACAAAAATGAGAAAAACATTATAAAGTTATAAACAAAATTAAAAATTTATATACTTCTAATATATATTAAACATGATGAACAGAAATGAGTGGGTTTTTAAAAAAAATCTCCAATTTCACTGAAATAGTTAATTCTGGAACACCCTGTATATTAGTGGTTCTCAAATGGTGCACTTGGGTGCACTGGTGCACCCTGAAAGATTTCTAAGTGCATCCTGACATTCCAGAGAAATGTGTCTAGATATAAGAAATAAATATATTTACTTTATTATATTGCTTTAACCATCTCGTTCATATTTACATGAATTTGGTTTTTCTGCTCTCACCACAATTAAGTGCAAAAAGAGAAGAACTCTTCAATGTATTGAGGAGGAAATGAGAGTTTGCCTATCAAATATACACCCAGACATTGAAGAAATCATTAAGACTCATCAGGTTCATGTTTCTCATAAACACAAGAATGAATAAACTTAAGCTATGTTTCATTTTTTTTTTTTTTTTTTTTTATTGCATTATTTCTTTTATGCAATATTTGACTTCATTATAACATATTTTTCCAAAATTTGTATATAGAGTGCCTACAATTATTGGTAGGATTTCAAGTCTGCCCTAACATCAAAAAGTCTGAGAACCACTGCTGTATCTGCTCTGAATATAAGGGGAGGCTACTCTATTGATCCACACTAATGAGCCCTACTTACATTGGCTCGCATTTCTCCTTGATTGTTAGCCATAATACATCTCTTAGGGTTTTTTTTTTTTTTTTTAGAATAACAAAAACTTGAGTTTGTTTAATCTATTTGCCTCTGTATCGCAATGAAAATAAAGTGGTCGTTTTTTTGTAATAAAACTGCTCCTCTTTATCAACTAATTGGAGCATCCATTGCATTTGTGACATAGAGTAATCATCACTTTCTTATACAAATCACTGAACTTGTATTAAATATTTTTTAAAATCTTTTGCAGGCAACTTCCAAAGTCATGTCTACTATGGCTTCCATTGGCAAATTGGCTCATTTTGAAAATATCAGTGCACTTTATGAAGAGATGGAGATGGTAAGTTCTTGTTTGATTATTTAAACTTGTTAACCTATGTCTTTTTTATTTTTTTTACACTGGTGTTCACCCTGTACAAAGCCCTGGTGCCACTCAAGTTAGAGGGCTAAAGTGTTAGAGGCACAGCTTATCTGGATATGTGCAGAAGATAACAGTTAACCCTAGACTTGAATAAATTAAGATTATAGTGATAGGGGAAACAGCCTCTTTGGAAGTCAGTTCTACAAGGCAATGGTTTGTGGGAAAAAGCTGCTTGCTTGGAACTTACATCTCACCAGGGGGATATGAAAGCAATGAGGGTGGTTCAATACATTGGGCGTGGCATGGTGGCTCTTTAACCATGATGGTTAGGATTGGTGAAACTAAGGAGTATAATCCATTTGAACACTCACTATGGAAATAGTAATAGAGAAGGTATCTTTAACCCAACCACACACTGTTGTTGTCCTATTTCTGATCTAATTCTGCTACATCTTTTATTTATCAGTATCCAGATTATAAGCTCAGTTGTGGCTGATTAGCCAATGGAACACACATTTATTTGCACCTGGCTTCTTAGGCAGTGCTATGAAGATGGATTTACTAAAGTCTTCCAGCATTGTTACCCACTATTGTCTATTTCATTTATTATTTCTATGATCTTGTCTATGCCAAAATCGTCTAAGGCTGCCAACATCTCTATTACAATCCTCCATCTGCTGCTTTCTTTACCTTGGCCAGTGCCAATCTTACCTTATCTTTCATTCAGGTCTATCCATTTTTTTTGTGTATTTTCAGTCCCCCACCCACCTCTTTTGGTGTGGAACATTTCCTTAATATGTTCATTCTGTCTTGGAAGTATTTTTTTTTCTTTTACTATTATGAGCACATCATTTGTCTTTTTATTTATTTTATTTTCTTATGCAAACTCGATGTATTAAAGGTGCCCATTCTTGCTATTTCTTCACACTTCAATTTGGATTTCAATTTTGCTTCTCACTTTTTTCTTTTCTTTTTCTTTCTTTAATTAAAAGAAAATTTTTCCTGCAAGTAAATTGACATTCACAAAATTAACAGATTGGGACAAGTATTTATGAAAATAGAACAAAGTAAAAACTGGGAACAAATTCTATTTTTCACATCCGTAATGTTGCCTGAAGTTTTGACATAAAGTATTTTATCACATTATGCAATAAAAGGCAGACAATCATCTTAAGATGGTTGTCTGCCTCTTCCAAATTTTGTCACCTTGGCCAATATTAGAATGGTTGTCTTCTTCCTTAAAATTGTGTTTATTTCTCATGTGATTATATAAGATTTAAGAAAAATATTAGAAATGATTTTTCAGATTTTGAACCAAAATGAAAACTGTAAATTAATTATATCAAATTTACTTTCATAAATATCCTTTGTAAATTTACTGTTTATTTCCAGGGTCAGCCTAAGAAAAAGAAAGGAAAATTTACAAGAAAAAAGGTAAACAACTTTATTCTTTTTAAATACAAAATCTGAATGCTGTGCAGTGAAAAAACATTTTTTTCTGTTAGTTATCCTGCCTTATCATACATTATATCAGTTACGGTGTGACAAAAGACATGACTTACCTTGAAGTTCAAAATGAGTGCAAACGTGTCTTGCCTGCAAAATAATGAGGAAAAGAAATATGGCCACTATCAAAGACGCAATTTATGCACACCGATCTCGTCCAAAACAAGACGATATTCGCACACATGCAAATTTCGGTCGTATCAGACTGGCATAAAAAGCGAGATGCCAGCAGCACAATGCGAAGGTTGGGAGTCATTCGGTGGACTTCATGCAATAGAGTTGGACGTACGAATTGACTGACGGACAAAGAGGAAGTTGAAGTACGCGCGGCTAAGTTGGTGTCTGTTTCCCGACTGCCCTGTGTAATGGCTGAGAAAGGGAGTCTCGCAATCCATTTCCTTGAGGCGACTGACGGCGAAGGAAGAATAGCTGGTCTGCCGGCGAACAGCGCACTGCACTTTCTTACCTCCTTCTTGTCACTTTCTCTTTGTTTACTACAAGCTATTTCTGGCAGTTATAGCAAAGGTTCGCATAAGCAGCAATGTCATAAAACCATTTTCCGGCCAAGGCGATGTGGTAGCGTGGCTAAAAAAGGTCAGGCTTGTAGTAAGACTTCAGCAGGTGGACGATGTGGCTAGCCTGCCACCATTGTACCTGGAGGAGGACGCACTAGCCCTCTACATGGAAATGGAAGAGGAAGATCAGAGATATTGATCAGATCGAAGCCAGGCTGAAGTAAGCATTTACGGACGACGTATTTTCAGCATACAGATAGCTGACCATGGTCAGGTGGACTGGCGAACGTGTGGACTGGCGAACGTGTGGACATCTACGCGAACAAAATCAGGCAGCTTGTTGGATTGACCAGATTCAAGGGAGCCAAAATGGAAAGGCTCCCCAAACTAGCCTTCATCATGGGGTTCCCTAATGCGATCTCCCTTGAACTCCAACAGGCACTAAATGTTGAAGCTCTGACTGTAAGGGAATTATTAGAAAGAACGAGAGTGCTAACAGCAAGCAGAGATGAAAGTCAGGACATAGTTGCGGCTGTGTGCCCAGCCCATAGTGACGGTGCGTCTCTTAAAAAGAGTGACCCACTCACCAGTGTGACATGCTTCAGGTGCAGCGGCAAAGGCCACATAGCAAAGGACTGCCGGAAGCACTATCGATACGGGGATGTTGGACACTGGGCCCATGACCGTTCAGGAAACGCTACAGAGGACAAGGCATCAGCGCCAGCCTTTTCCCCAATGGTGCTCCCAGTGGCAAACATCCTTGTTGACGGAACTTGGTGTTCAACGCTGATTGATACTGGCTGTTCACGGATGATTGTGGATGCAGATCGGTACCAGTCTTGGAAGAGAGTGACGGTGGACGTCATGATTATTGGAGGCATGTCTCATCCATGTTGCGGTGTAGGAGTGGTAACTGTATCCCCGAAGGAAGGTGGTACTGCCAAGATCAACGTGTTGGTGGCATGTGGTAAACCACTGGAATTTGACCTGCTATTGGGGATTGATGGTATAACAGCATTGGGAGGCACTGTTGTTGGGCCAACGGGACGAGTACAGATTGGCAATGGGTGAGCAGCCAAGTGTGCTGCCATCATTGTGGATGAACCCGACTTCACTGCCACCTTCAACCATCGGAGGCAATCATGGACTGTGGCATGGAAGTGGTCAGAGAACTACGCGCCTGAAAGACTGCACAGTGTGGTTTCTGAGTACTCAGTAGCAGCAGAAATCAGGGAGGGCTATGAGCAGGAGCTCCACACATGGATTAGCAATGGCTGGCTCGTGCCGTACCCAGAAGAAAGACTGGGGCCTTCCAAAGGGCTAATTCCCCTGATGGCCATACTACAGCAGAACAAATCTAAAGTACGTCCTGTGATGGACTTCAAGGAGCTCAGCTATCACATTGACGCTTTCACTGCCAATGCAGACATCTATGCAGCTAAACTGCGAGAATGACGGCAGAAGGGATCCAACATGACTCTACACATAAAAATGGATTCCGTTTGTGTTTACCACTGGGTATTGGATACTCTGACTGGGAGAGCGTGAGTGCACACCAAGGCGGCAAATGAAATGCTCATCAGGAGACGGCTGAACACTCTCAAGGAGCTCGTAGAAGAGTATCAGTTGACCATGGACATGACACTGGTTCCATCGGTTCGGAATGTAGCTGATCGGCTGGCGAGAGTACCGCAGCGATGGTTTGACGCAATGAAGAGAAGCAATGGACCGAGGCCACTGATTGGTGCCACCCATGTGGATGAACTGGACGCAGACCAAATCATGTCCATCCACAGGAACAGTGGTCACTCAGAAGTACGGTGCACTAACTACTTCACCAGGAGCGTCTGCCTGTCAACGGCAAAAGCAGCTGTTAGATCAGCTATACAGGTGTGTGAAGAATGTCAGTCTATAGACCCCACACCAACTCAGTGGCAAAAAGAAAAGCTTGAGGTAAGTGGAAACTGACAGAGAATGGGAATGGATATAACCCACTATGGTGCCCATCATTTCTTAATGCTGACTGACTGCGGTCCATCGCGTTTTTCAATCTGGAAGCAGTTGGCAAGACAGGACTCGGTGGTCGTGATTTGCCAGCTGAAAGGAGTGTTTCTCAAGTGGGGCCCACCCAATGAGCTACTCACGGACAATGACCCAGCTTTCTCCAGCAGGGAATTCAGAACCTTTGCGAGCGAGTGGGGAGTCAACTTGCAGTTCCGTTGTGCATATGCCCCAGCTGCAAATGGTATAGCAGAGCGATGTCACCACACAGAAATCACGGCCAGGATGCACTGTTCCATCCAGGAAGCCGTCTACTGGTACAATGTCACACTAAAAGACAGTGCATCACCCCAGACTGCGCCCGCCTACAGGAGCCACCAATACGAACTGAGGGTGAGAGGTGTTGCGGCTCCAATGATGTCTTCAGACACCGGGCATGGCCCTTACCAGGTCAGAGATCATGTGTGGGTCAAGGCGCCAATATGTTGGTGCACCACCAGGTTCAACAGGGCTCAGGTGATAAAAATGATCAGCCCGCAGTCTTTTCTGGGGGACAGAATACCCCACCACGTTAAGGATCTACGCCCGCGCCACGGTTTCAGCACATCTGAGGAAGATTCGGAAAGTTTGCTGCTTGACGAGGAAAGTGCAGAGTGCATCAATACACATGAAGAGGGTGTAGAGGCAGAGCCCCCCTCTGACAATCCACCCGAAGGGGGAGCAAGAGCAGAGCCCCCCACCCTACCTTTGCAAAGAAGCACCTGTCGAAAATGACCGTCGCCGGGCTGCCACCTTTGTGACCATGAGATCAGGGAGTGGTTTGATGAAAGACATGACTTACCTTGAAGTTCAAAACGTGTGCGAACTTGTCTTGCCTGCAAAATAATGAGGAAAAGAAATATGGCCACTATCAAAGATGCAATTTATGCACACCGATCTTGTCCAAATCAAGACAATATTCGCACACATGCAAATTTCGGTCGTATCAGACTGGCATAAAAAGCGAGATGCCAGCAGCACAATGCGAAGGTTGGGAGTCATTCGGTGGACTTCATGCAATAGAGTTGGAAGTCGAAGTATGCGCGGCTAAGTTGGTGTCTGTTTCACGACTGCCCGGTGTAATGGCTGAGAAAGGGAGTCTCGCAATCCATTTCCTTGAGGCGACTGACGGCGAAGGAAGAATAGCTGGTCTGCCGGCGAACAGCGCACTGCACTTTCTTACCTCCTTCTCGTCACTTTCTTCTCTTTGTTTACTACACCCACACTCCCATAACTTCAGTTAGTTTATGGTATAAAATAAAAGGAAGATGTGGAGAGCTATAATCACCTACAACCTGAAGGAATATGGCACTTAAAGACATGTTAAAATATTTTTCTTTATATTAACAGTTTAGCTTAATCCTAACGTTAGTGGGAGACAGAAAATTGTGTGCATATGTGTGCACATACGTCTTGTGCTATTTTTTTATGTGTCTATAAAATCTGGTCAAAGATACAATGCTTGTCTTTCATTTCTCTCCTTCCTCTTCCACGTATCTCCTCTCCTTCCACTTCCACGTATCTCCTCTCCTTCCACTTCCACGTATCTCCTCTCCTTCCACTTCCACGTATCTCCTCTCCTTCCTCTCCTTCCCTTCCTTCCTATTCCCTCTCCTTCCTCTTCCACGTATCTCCTCTCCTTCCACTTCCACGTATCTCCTCTCCTTCCTCTTCCACGTATCTCCTCCCCTTCCTCTTCCACGTATCTCCTCCCCTTCCTCTTCCACGTATCTCCTCCCCTTCCTCTTCCACGTATCTCCTCCCTTCCTCTTCACGATATCCTCCCTTCCTCTTCCACGTATCTCCTCCCTTCCTCTTCCACGTATCTCCTCCCTTCCTCTTCCACGTATCTCCTCCTTCCTCTTCCACGTATCTCCTCCCTTCCTCTTCCACGTATCTCCTCCCTTCCTCTTCCACGTATCTCCTCCCTTCCTTCCCTTCCTCTTCCACGTATCTCCTCCTTCCTCTTCCACGTATCTCTCCTTCCTCTTCCGTATCTCCTCCCTTCCTCTTCCTATCTCCTCCCTTCCTCTTCCACGTATCTCCTCCCCTTCCTCTTCCCGTATCTCCTCCTTCCTCTTCCACGTATCTCCTCCCCTTCCTCTTCCACGTATCTCCTCCCTTCCTCTTCCGTATCTCCTCCCTTCCTCTTCCACGTATCTCCTCCCCTTCCTCTTCCACGTATCTCCTCCCCTTCCTCTTCCACGTATCTCCTCCCCTTCCTCTTCCACGTATCTCCTCCCCTTCCTCTTCCACGTATCTCCTCTCCTTTTTGTTATTAGGAAAAGAATTACTTTTCTTGTAATGATTTTTTTTTTTCTGTTCTCACAAACAAAATGTCTTTTTGTTATAAGAACTTTTCTTTGTCATCATTTAAATGTGAAAGAGAAAAAAATAATCTGTCATGCTTAATGACAAAAAACACTTTAAAAATTTTAACAAACACAGAAGCTGGCACTATAGATTCAGACTTGTATACAAGCAAGGTTATCTGGTGTTTTCCTGGTTTTAACATGTTAGATAAAAATATCTAGTTTGGTACATGAATCAACCTTCATTGGGCAGCCAGCAAAAAATACTCACTAAGAATAGCTTTGAAGATTAACCATCACTATACTATAGATGCTTTTTTAATATTTGTAGAATTAGGATAGCATTGGTACAAGGCCATATTTCTTTGAGCACTCAAGGAGATCAAGCTCAATTTTAAGACCAACACTAGGTTTGACTGCCATTATCATTTTGTAGATAGAAAATTTGAACCTTGCTGGGTTGTGGTGCTATTTGTGGCTAAGCAGATCAAATGATGGTTTCTCCTACAAAGAGGGATGTAGATTCAAACCTTGCCAGAGAGCACAAACATTGTTTTATTCAGTCTCTCTAATGTGTAGGTCAGTAGACTTAAATCCCATCCTTACATGTCATGTGGGATTGCATGCTTGAGTGATCATGTTACTTCTCAATTCATGACTAAGTTGACAGAAGAATTTTTGCAGAAGGCTCTCATCACATTCTGTCATAGACTGCTTGCCCACTATTAGAACTTTCTATTGTACGTTTACTGTCATAACACACACACACACATACACTCTTGGTATAATGTAATTCATTAAAGTACACATAATGCTTAGGCTGTTGCCATAATACCTGTAAAGTTAGTATGAAAACTGACTCCAATATGACTTACTATGCATGACTTCATACCATGGAGAACTCTTTATAATATTGGACAGCAAGTTCATAGTCACCGGAGTGGGGGTAGTGCTCTTTACTTCACAACACCCACATAGACTCTTCCCTTTTCCAAGGGCATTTTTGCATAAGGGAATGTAACAACTCGACTGGAATTAGAACTCGGCTCTCCAATTTCTCATTCTGATTCACTGTCCATTATTTATTTATATATATATATATATATATATATATATATACACACACACATACACACCTCTGCACGTGGAAGCTTACAGCACCTGGTATTCTCAAGTGGTCACCCATATAGGTACTGACCAGGTTCAATGTTGCTTGATTTCACCCTTTAAAAAACAAGGCTTCTACTCAAACATGGGTGTCCGCTAAAATAACATAAATATTAGAATAATATGAATAATTCCGTAGATATAAAATTCCTTAAAATAATTCCTTAAATATAAAATGTGAACCATGATAGATTTCCTGATCATCTTGGTTATATTATTCAAACTATGTTCTAGAAACCATCATCTCAATTCGTTGAAGTGATAAAAAATAAATAATAACTTCTGTTGTGGCTGCCATCCATATTCAGATGTCAATAGCTTCATAGAATAAAAGCATTGTTTTCATCCACAAAGTAACAATATTTCGAGCTTCTCACCTTTGTAATTGTTATTCTGTTATTGGTTAAATGTTTGACATTTAATTAGCTTTTCTTTCTTCTTTCATTGAGAATCAAATTCTTTTTGTGAAAATGGACATTTGCTATCTTCAAGACATTTATTACTTTCTGACAATTTATTGACAAAAACAAGTTTTATTCCTTCATTGGAAAG